GTTCCCCTAAAACCATTTCTATGGTGCTCTGAATGTTAATTATTGACTATCCTGAACCCACCAATGTAAAAGAAGTATGCATCTCTCTTGTTTTACTCTTTATCTAATCCCAGCGATTTCCCTGCTTTGCTTGCTCCCGCTTCCCTAATCTACCACCAATGGATTTCATGTAACCCTCCTTACGCCCTGCCCCTTCCTTTGACTCTAATATATAAAACTAGAGGCCCAGTGCACAAAAATTTGTGCACGGGGGTGGGGGGGGGAGTCCCTCAGCCTGGCCTGTGCCCTCTCGCAGTCTGGGACCCCTCGGGGGATGACCACCTGCTGGCTTAGCCCTGCTCCCCGAGGGATTGGGCCTAAGATGGCAATCAGACATCCCTCTGGCAGCCCAGCAGCCCTCAGGGGATGTCCACTTGCCAGCAGGGAGCAGACCTAAGCTGCAGTCGGACATCCTTAGCGCTGCTGGGGAGGCAGGAGAGGCTCCCACCACCACTGCTATACTGGCAGCCATCAGCCTGGCTTGTGGCTGAGCAGAGCTCCCCCATGTGGGAGCTCACTGACCACCAGGGGGCAGCTCCTGCATTGAGCGTCTGCCCCTTGGTGGTCAGTGTGTGTCATAGTGACCAGTCATTCCCAGTCTTTCTGCTGTTAGGGTCAGTTTGCATATTACCCTTTTACTATATAGGATAGAGGCCTGGTTCCTGCTCGCTCAGCTGCGTGGCTGCTGGCCGCCATCCTGGTTGGCGGTTAATTTGCATATCACCCTGATTATCCAATGGGAAGCGTAGCGAAGGTATAGTCAATTACCCTTTTGTCTTTTATTAGATAGGATAAGCTGAAAAACTGCCATTCTCCAGAGTATTTGTTGAGATTTTTGCTTTCAGCAATTGTCAGTTTGGCTCAAATAAACTCATAAAAATTCTCTACAGGTTTGGATGTTTCTTATATCAACAACTAGAGGCCTGAGCACAAAATTCATGCACTTGGCGGGGGGGGGGAGGGGTCCCTCAGCCGGGCCTGCATCCTTTCACAGTCCGGGAGCCCTCAGGGGATATCTGACTGATGTCCACTCGGGCCTAAGCCAGCAGTTGGACATCCTTAGCACTGCTGCAGAGGCAGAAGAGGCTCCCACCACCACTGCTGCACTTGCCAGCAGCCCTTTGTAAGTGTCCAGGGTTTTATGCAACTGAGAAATACCCTTGCTAGCAAGAGGGACCATCTGAAGATTCCACATTTGAGTGTTAGTCGCACTTCGTACTTTAAGTGTGAATTTCGGTTGCCACCTTGTTCTCTCCTTCCAAAAAACAGGTCTTCTGAGATGGAGTCATGACTTGGCAACAGAACTTACATGATGATGAGGGGATGGGACTTACCAGCTCAGTCTCTGATTTCATTCCCTGCAGCATATCTGCCTTTATAGATACTTGAGCTGCTAAATGCAGTTCCTAGTGACTGCAACCACTCAGTGAGGGCATGACTCGAGAACCCCATTTCTTTTCAAGGAAAGAATCTGTTTTGTAATTAAAGTTTTTAAGTGTTAAAGATTCCTTGAAATACCTGCCACTCATTTCAATATCTGGCATACTGTCCACCTCTATCTTTTCATACCGACTTACATGAAGTGCTGAGTGGTGGATGCATTCAGTTCATAGTAATACTGTTCTAATAACCTGGCTATTAATTAATAACAGGAAAGGAGTAAAGGGAAGGCCAGATACTAAAGGCATGACATTTGTACAGCTTTGCTAGAAAGCTGCAGGTTAACACTCTCCAGGTCTGATTCCTGCATATTGCAGGGGAAAGGGACTGGACAATGGACGCATGCCCAGTAGGGTCTGGGTGATGTGGGAAGGTGCTTGCCTGTCACTCATACCTAGCAATAGGGGGTCAAATAAGATTTTTTAACAAAAAGTAAGGGAGAGCCCTAGCTAGTTTGGCTCAGTGGATAGAGCATTGGCCTGCTTACTGAAGGGTCCCAGGTTCAATTTCAGTCAAGGGCACCTGCCCAGGTTGTGGGCTCCATTCCCTGTTGGGAGTGTGCAGAAGGCAGCCGATCAATGATTCTCTCTCATCATTGATGTTTCTATCTCTCTCTCCCTCTCCCCTCCTCTCTGAAATCAATTTTTTTTTTTAAGTAAGGAAGATACTTATTTTAGCCTTAAGAAAAAACTCACAAAATATTTAAGGGCCTCAAAGTATCCTTCCAAACCCTGATTTTGATGGAACATTGGGAGACTACTTTGTCCTAAAAACATAAGCCCTAAGCAGACTGCAGCCACTTCTCACGGCCCTTCCTGTGCAGTCACAGTAAGTGCCCAGCTTGAGTGCTGCCGCCTGCAGACCCTGCTTTGTCCTTCTGTTCCCAGGCAGCTTGCAGGGAGCAGCCCGTCTGCTTTCTCACGTAATGGGTGTGACAAAGCCCAAAGCACAATGAACCTATTTACATTTGCCAACTACGCTGTGGATATGAACATGAAGGTTTTGGAACATTTCACATTGTGGAAAAGTCTGCTGCCAGCCCTTTGTAAGTGTCCAGGGTTTTATGCAACTGAGAAATACCCTTGCTAGCAAGAGGGACCATCTGAAGAGTCCACATTTGAGTGTTAGTCGCACTTCGTACTTTAAGTGTGAATTTCGGTTGCCACCTTGTTCTCTCCTTCCAAAAAACAGGTCTTCTGAGATGGAGTCATGACTTGGCAACAGAACTTACATGATGATGAGGGGATGGGTTCGCCCAAGGACTTACCAGCTCTGTCTCTGATTTCATTCCCTGCAGCGTATCCTCCTTTATAGATACTTGAGCTGCTAAATGCAGTTCCTAGTGACTGCAACCACTCAGTGAGGGCATGACTCGAGAACCCCATTTCTTTTCAAGGAAAGAATCTGTTTTGTAATTAAAGTTTTTAAGTGTTAAAGATTCCTTGAAATACCTGCCACTCATTTCAATATCTGGCATACTGTCCACCTCTATCTTTTCATACCGACTTACATGAAGTGCTGAGTGGTGGATGCATTCAGTTCATAGTAATACTGTTCTAATAACCTGGCTATTAATTAATAACAGGAAAGGAGTAAAGGGAAGGCCAGATACTAAAGGCATGACATTTGTACAGCTTTGCTAGAAAGCTGCAGGTTAACACTCTCCAGGTCTGATTCCTGCATATTGCAGGGGAAAGGGACTGGACAATGGACGCATGCCCAGTAGGGTCTGGGTGATGTGGGAAGGTGCTTGCCTGTCACTCATACCTAGCAATAGGGCGTTGCCCAGAATAGGCATGTAGGCATGGGCACTGCAAGCACAGGAAGATTTGATATTTAAACTCCTGAACAAAGGAAGTGCTCCTTCTTGGTGCTCTTGGTCCTCTTGAGCTCCTGGCTCTCCTGTGGCATGGGGCACACTCCCCCGCATCTGCCCACATGGCTCAGGGCCATGTGGACCACACAAGGGACTGATGGGCTGGGACTAGCCTGATGTTGTACCAGACTCAATGCCACCATGAAACAGAAATTCTGGGCACTGACTCTGCTTCTAGCTCTGCTGAAGCCCTGGCTACACATTTTCCAGGACTGATTTAAGGGATATGAGACTTTGCTACCCAAAGGATGTAATTTCACATGAATAAACCTTTCTACCCCATCTCATTCTCCTGTGGGAGTCTTAGAAAATTCTTTTGCTTAAGATATCGAAAGAAGCAGCCCCCAAGCTCCCAGTGGGAAAAGGGATACCCCAATCTCAGTAGCAACAGAGGAATTTTACCTGTGCAACCTTCCGATAACAATAGCCCTTCCACTCACCATCCTCGTAGTCATGGGAAAACCCATCAACCTTTCTGAGCCTCTGTTTGACAATGGTAAAATGGGGACAAAATCCCCCCCCTTAACTCACAGGAGTATTGAACATTTAAGTGGGGGAAATGGATGTCAAAATCCCTTTGTAAACCACCATAAATGTGTGCTATTATGGTGTGTCAATCATAGACACATTTGTGTTTTCATTCATTAAATACATATAGAGTGTTTGCTATTTGACAAGCAATCTGTGGCCCTAGGGAAATAGCAGTAAAACAAAACAAAAGCAGACCCAATACCCAGCCCTCATGGTGTCTAAGTTCTACCAGATATATAGAGAGAAACACTTGTCGTGACTGTCACGTGCAATAGCATCCCTTTTCCTATGGTGATAGTTCTGTGCATACTTAGAAACCTTAAATTTTGCAGGTAGGTCAAAGTTCAGGATGTCTACCCTATGTATAATCCCCTAATGACTAGATTCCTGCAATAAAAAGCTGATTGTAATAGATTCTCAAAGGCCATTGTAATTATCTGAGATAAACCCTTTGCAGTAATGTTGGAAAATGCCTCAAACTGTCTAAGTGACCATTTTGTTAAAAACCTCTGCAGCAGATGTGCTTCGCACCTGGCCCCACGTGAACCCCCTCAGGTTGCAGCTGCAGGTACGGTGGACAACTCCTCTGCTTACTGCCCTGCCCCACCCCAGTGCCCGCAGCCCACGGCCTTCCCTGCACGCACTCTGCCTCCCCAGTGCCTTTCCCAGGCTGCAAGTGTGGGGCACTAACAATGCCAAGTACTTCCTCCATCAGTGGGGGTGGGACTGCAGGACCAATGCTTCAGCCTGGTGTCCTGAGAGGGATGATTCTGAAGAGTAGTCCTCACTGGAGCTCAGAGGGTCCCAGCAGGATGAAGCCCAGGTTGCTCACAGAGCCTCCCTTCACTGGCTCTTCGTCCTGCACCCTCCCTCACCTGCTCCCTTCACGCCTGCTTCCTGGCATCGACTCCTGGAAGCTGCCGGCCACCACGTCCTTCGGGCACTTCTTTTAGAGAAAGCCAAACTGAGATGTTAATCCCATGTGTCTGCAAATGTCATCAAAATTTCTAATAGAACACTGATCGGAATACTGGAAAGAATGTAGGGATTTTTGCAGTGATTTCCAATTCACCCCAGATTTTGGAATGTGCTGAAAAACAATGTAAATTCCTACCTCCAGGACGTCAAACCCGCAGCTTTCATGATACTCCACATCAAAGTCGTGGATGGTGAGCTGAATGCTACTCCCAGGAGCAGTGTGAATGTACCATATACACTCCTTGCTGGGGGGGTACGTGTTCGGGTATCCGGGGCTGCTGAAGGAGCCCATGGCCCCAGACAACTCCGCACCACAACCTGTTAAAACAGCAAGGCTCAGTCAGTTCCAAGTGAGCTCTGGCCATTGGGAAGAATTTAACAATCCAACTAATCAAAAGGTAATTGAAAATGCAGATAACTATCTTAAGAGAAAAATCATAAAGTTACAATAAAGCTATAATTAAGCAGCTATAAAACAATGAGGAAAAATCATGGCTACAGGTTATTACATTTATTCTTTTTAAAAAACATGATTATATTATTTTGCAATAATTTTCAGTCCTTATTCTCATCACATTAAACCTTTGGTAATATTTTCAAAATGTCATTCTAATTTTTAGATTTTTTTTCATTATATGTAGGTAAGAATTTCAAAGAAGGAAGTACAATGGAAGCAAAAGAAACCATCAACAAAACAACAAGAAAGACCACTGCATGGTAGAACATATTTGCCAATGTTATATCCAATAAGGGCCTATTCTCCAAAATTTACAAGGAGCTCATACATCTTAACAAAAGGAAGATAAACAATCCAATAAAAAAATGGGCAAAGGACCTAAATAGACAATTTTCGAAAGAGGACATACAGAAAGCCAAGAGACATATGAAAACATGCTCAAAGTCACTAATCATCTGAGAGATGCAAATAAAAATGACAATGAGATGCCACCTCACACCTGTCAGAATGGCTATCATCAACAAATCAACTAATGATAAGTGCTGGAAAGGATGCAGGGGAAAAAAGGAACCCTCATGCACTGCTAGTGAGAATGCAGACTGGTGCAGCCACTGTGGAAAACAGTATGGAGTTTCCTCAAAAAATTAAAAATGGAACTCCCATTTGACCCAGTAATCCCACTTCTAGGAATATATCCCCCAAAATCAGAAACACCAATCAGAAAGGACATATGCACCCCTATGTTCATAGCAGCACAATTTACAATAGCTAAGATTTGGAAACAGCCTAAGTGCTCATCAGCAGATGAGTGGATTAGAAAAACGTGGTACAGCTACGCAATTGAATACTATGCTGCTGTAACAAAAAAAGAACTCTTACCATTCGCAACAGCTTGGATGGATATGGAGAGCATTATGCTAAGCGAAATAACCCAGTTGGAGAAAGATAAATATCACATGATCTCACTCATTTGTGGAATATAATGAGCAACATCAACTGATGAACAAAAACAGATCCAGAGACAGAGAAGCATGGAACAGACCGTCAAACTTCAGAGGGAAGACAAGGGAGGGAGAGGGGATAAGAGATCAACCAAAGGACTTGTATGCATGCATATAAGCATAACCAATGGACACAGATGCTAGGGGGTGAGGGCATGTGTGGGGGAGTCGGGGGTGGCCAGGGAGAGGTCAATGGGAGAAAAAGGAGACATATCTACTACTATATGTAATACTTTAAACAATAAAGAATTTTTAAAAAAGGATAATGGACAGTAAACACTATGTCTGAGTCTTTAGTTTCCTGTATTTAATACATTATTTCTAAGTGCTTTTCAGACCTAAGATCTAGAATTGTAAATGCATATTAATAAGAGAAAGAAACCAATCTAAAAAGGTATGGTTCCAAATATATTACAAAACCCATAGAATGTAGAACCCATAGAGTGAACCCTATGGACTCCAGGGATGAGGATGTTAATGTGGGGTCATCAACTGTAACAAATGGCCCACTCTGGTGGGCAATGTTGATCATGGCGGAGGCTGTGCATGTATGGGAATGGGCGTATATGGGAGCTTTACCTTCCATTCAATTTTGCAATGAACCTAAAACTCTTCTAAAAAATTAATTCTATTAAAAAATTATACAGGCCCTGACCCAGGCAATTTATATCTAAAAACCAAAGAACCAAACAAAAACCAATATATAAAACAAGCACAAAAGAAGACTGCAGCCTATGTTTTATGAATGTTTATATACATAAAAAAGTGATTAAGGCAAATCATTACAACAAATAATTAATTTGGTACACAGTAAAAACTTGTCACCACTTACTGAGTGCTTAGATGTGTTTTACAAGTGTTTTCCATTTTACTTCTCCTAATAACCATATGAAGCAGGTACTATTAGTATCTGCTTTTCTCAAATGAGCGAATCAATGCAAACAGAGGTCAAGTGGCTTGCCCAGGGTCATCAGGCTTGTAGGTGGTGGGGCCAGGACACGACGCAGGTGATTTGGTTCTGTCAGAGCGCTTAATTCCTACATTCTACAGACTCAGTGTGTAGGATTCAGACAGAACTTTCAGAACGGAGAGGGAGAGAAAACTTATGGAAGAAATAAAATTTAAGGAAGGCTCAAATTTTAAAGAGAAAATTAGAAAAAAGGAGAGATTATCTTGTTTTCTAATAGCAAGTTTTAGTGATTAAAAAATATTATTTGCTTTGCTAACATATCTGGGCCTCCTTTTCTGTTTTTTCAAATATTCTTTATTGATTGGTAAATTCTTTCAAATACCTTCTCTTACTCTTCATCAAGGCTTTTTCATGTTTAAAAATAATAATGCCTCCTTTGGTGGGCTAGAAGAGGTCAATGGGGGGTTGGGGGTGGGGGGAGAGGGCATTACGTACTACTTTCAACAGTAAAGATTTTTAAAAAATAAAAATACAGTGGGGCCTTGACTTACAAGTGTCCCGACTAACGAGTTTTTCGAGATACGAGCCATCTCTCAGCCAATTTTTTGCTTTAGGTTGCGAGCTAAAATTCAGGTTACGAGCCAGCTTCAGATACCCCTCCGCTAGTTGGCGCACCGAATGTCACAGTGAACGCCACAACATCAGCCCAGCATCACGTGTCTCACTCGTTCACTTTTTGATTTGACATACGAGTAATTTGAGTTACGAGCTCCATCACGGAACGAATTAAACTTGTAAGTCAAGGCCCCACTGTAATAGTGTTTCCTCATTCCATTATGAATATGTGTGCATTTTCACATGAAAGAAACTTAACTGTTGTGACTGAAAATGTAAGACACTAAAGCTAAGGTCAGGTCTACTATCACCCTATGCCAATTCACCCTGTATGATGAGTTAAAAAAAGAAGTTTTTAAAAAGTTCAAAAATATATATTCTCTACATAGAATCTCCACTTAACTAAAAATAACAGAATTCTAAGAAGACTCTTGATGCAATAAAGAAATCTGATTCCAGCTCAACATGTTACCATCTTGAGTTGCTAGTCTCCTGCTTCCATTTGAAAACTTCCTTTTTTCAGACTTTAAATTTTTTGCACAGAGCAGTATCTTTTCTATGGCTTATAAACATCTTACTTTATTTCGGGTTAAAATCCTGCAAAAAAGCTGCTTAAAATTAGATATGTGGACATTATTTATATACTACCATGAATGTTTAAAAAAATAAATGCCATGAAAGATTAGAAAATATTTTTTCTACTATGACAACCCATGGAAAATATTCCTGAAGCCAAAATCAGCAGATTGTATATATGGTCAGTACCACTGCACAAGTCTAGAGGGCACCAGTCACAGAATATTTCATCAAAGGATACTCTCTAAAGTTTTCCAATGCTGTGGCCCATATAAATCATCTTAACATGAAATACCTTTTACTAAATTACATTATAGGTAAGCAATGCCATTCTGTTACCCCAATATTTTTTAACGTACATTTCAGCTCCTCTAGTTCTTCATATCAGTTATACCATATTAAATAATTCAATGGAAAAATCTTTGGAGAAAAATAACTCTGTAGCTAAATACTATAAAAGAGAACAGGGAAATGAAAGCTTGGATATCTCATCTCTGAGTTTTTATTAGCTTCAGTTCACCAGACAATCTAATTCATTTTTTTTTATTTAGTTGATTTGTCTAAAAATCTGTACAACATTTTCCATTGTCTTTTCCAATTGTTTTAGGTTTCCTTGTAAATTCCTTTGCAAATAACAGGATGCCAATACCCTTTTATTAGTCACTGGAATGATAATATCAGATTCTTGGCATTCATTAATGCTTTGAAAAATTATAGTACTTATTTGATTTACCCACTGACAGCTCTTAAGAACCACCATGTACTTTTCCTAAGATTTAAACAAATATAAACAAGGTTTATAAAAACGTAAGAAAATATTACTTTTAGGTTTCTCATGTTCTCTTCTCATTAATAGTGCTTACGTGTGTCTTCTAAAGAGAAATTCCAATACTATTAAAAGTGATACCCTATTGGTGAAAAATATTGTGTGGTTGTGAGAAGAAGAGAAAAACAGTTGGAGTTTGAAAACTCTTTGAAGCTTTCTACTTTTACTTCCTGCTCTCACTACCTCTGAGGTTTAACACATCAGAAGGTAACAACTTGGATTCAAAAGTTCACATTGAATGCAAAATAGTATAAATTAATTTAGTGATTCTATATTGTAAAAACTATAAAGTACTGGAAAATAGAGTTAATTCTGATAATTATGGTAGAAACTCTGTCTTTGAATATTTAAATCTTGAAAGAGATAACAATAAATTTCTAATTCCCATTCGTGCATCCATTCAATAAATATATATTGAGCATATGCCATAGAACAGTTCTGCTGTAGAAGCCAGGTGTACTTAATGTCTATTTTTAAAAATGCAGTTATAGACATAAAAACTGCTATTGCCACATGCCCTCCTGCGAGTCATTAAATTCTTTTTGCTTTTTCTTCAGTTTTCAAAGAGTAATTTCAATAAGTATTTATTTTAAAAAAAGCAATCAGTGAATTATACTTTATTCTTCACATGTTAATTGGTGATAAGCTACAAATAAGAATTAAAAAAATCATCATATTGAGGTGCTAACAGATATTTTTAAATTTGTTAGTTTTGGTAGTACAAGTTAGCAGGATTCTCTTTGATACTAATTTCTAGTCCATAGGTGAGAGATTTTTGATCAGCATTCAGTCAGTTATGGCTCACTCTCTTGAGTATCATCACTTTTCTCTAGATTTTGGGACACTTTGACATTGTGTACTTGGTCTCAGGCAAAAGAAAATATGACAAAAGTATATATTTTAAAAACTGAAAAAAAAGAACGTCTGTTTTTC